AGCATTTAATCAAACAAAGCTTTATTTGAAATTAGATCGTGTTTGAGCTTGTCTTGTTCTTTGAGCCTGAAGTCATACATCATGTTGCTCCTTTGTTTTTTGCTCTCTGCAAGTTATTTGTCTTAATTTTTGTGCTTGAAGTCTGGATTGACGTTGTTCAAAAGTTTCTTGTTGTCTATATCCAGCTTGCCTTGATGATTCTGACTGAACTCTGGCTTTGTGCTGTTCAACAGTTTCTTGCTGTCTTTTAGCCTGCCTTTCAGCTTGAGCTTGAAGTCTAACTTTATGTTGCCAAAGTTTCTTCCTGTATTTGTGTAGCCGGTCTTGCAGCTTGTGCTTGAAGTCTTTGATTGCATTCTTCTTCTGTTTCAGCTGCTCTTTGTGCTTGCATTCTTTTAGCGGCAGAAGACTTTCCATAGAAAGGGCATTTATTGGGTAGCATAATCACTTGTATCACTAAACAATAATTTGCAATTCACAAAGTTACTAAATCGCTTATGAAACCACTTAGCACTATTTAAAAAAAAACTGTTTTGGAAATACTGAATTGACAGCAAGATGATCTGAGTGTCTCCCGCAATAACGCTTTCTATGTGCAAAACGTGCATATGTTTGTATGTTTATTACAAAAAAAAATTGGCGCAATAATCATTAATTGTCAATTTCGTCATTAAATACTACACCAAATACAAAATAAATAGCACCATTAAATTTCTTGTAAAAAATTGGTTATTATGAAGTTATTATATATATATATATGTTGTGTTCACCTTATCCCACAACTGTTGTAAAATATGTTTCGAAAATAGTTTTTAATCTTTTCCATAATTCATTCATAAAATGTCACAAAAAAGAGAGAGGAAAAACAATAAGTTTTAAATAAGATTAATAGCTTACAATAATGTGTTTCTTCAAGAAATAATATCCAGAACAGTTTGAAGATATAAATATTAGAAAGAACTATGGTTTCAAAATTCACACAAGTTTTTATCGTTGTATATAATATAAACTTTTCTTTATTTTATTCACAACGTTTCACCAGGTTTACCTGGTATTTCGTAAGAACACTCATACTGCTATCCAAATAGTATCTAGATAATGATAATTCAGGAAATGTGTACGCATTTGAATATAACAGACTGCAAAAACTGTCATATTGGTGAGACAAACAAACAACTTTGTACTTGGTTACGTGAACATTTAAAATGCCCATCTGGTATTTTTGAACATATGTATAGGAACAATCATTCTCTTGATTCTTCTCAAGTAAAAATCTTATAGTAGAGAAAACAACATTAATAAACGAAAAATAAAAGAAGCACCTTTAATGGAAAAATAACTCTGTTCTTAACAAATACAAAGATGTTCATTTATATCTATTTTAATCATTCCCGTCTCTCTTGCATATAGAACGAATTTCAATACTTAGACTCAGTTTTATTTATTATACCTAAACTTGACAGTTCATTCATGAAATACTTTATTGTTTGCAGTTCATGAGTTTTATGCTTGAAGTTTGCTATTGTTATAGATTCTCACGTTATTCTTTTTTAAGTTACATTCTGTTAGCCCCAGTTCTTGTATCTCACCTGATGATGCTAGGTAAATCTGGTGAAACGTTGTGAATAAAATGAACAAAAGTTTTACTACGTACAACCGATAAAAACTTGTGTGAATTTGGAGATTTATCAACAAAAGCACGTAACGATGCAAGAACTGGAAGAGTGAAATATTAATAACAAATTTAAGAAATGAGATCCAATAATCTTCTTACTATAGTGGACGTAGCGTGCATATCAGTATCTACGTATGTAACCACAACTCTTGCACTATCTATTGAATGGCACCACAAATGAAAATCCATAAAAAAAAATTCACACTTTGGGTATTTAATATTCAGACAATTAGAAAAATAACTGTGGTATGTGCAACAACCATTTCTTTAACACAGAACACACTTTTAAATAAAAGTACTCTCCTCACAACAAGAACACGACTTTCACTGGGACTGTACGTGAGGGTTTGATTATATCTTTACTGATGTTATTTTCGTAACAATAATAATAATACATACATAAATGAGAACATAAAAACAACAGATATGAAATAAAAGTTATAAAACAGAGATAAAATAATTTTATTTAAATAATATGATTAGTCTGTCGAAGTTTATTTCATCTAATCTTTTCGCTACTCCAAGAGTGCTCTCCACATTGTAAGATCAACTACGTCCATTCTGTTACAACTGGTATGGTCTATAATCTCTGCATCATTGTATAGAAGTACATGGTTCCGCGATAGTGGTATAACAGTTAGCAGAACACTTGTCGTTAGTTTTGCCTTGTGTTCAGCTTCAAGTGATTTACCCGAGGAGTGAAGTGTGTAGCTTAACTTCAATTACTTCCATCAGTTTTACTGACATTTGGAACTATCAGGTGTTAGGAATGACAGTACTGTTGTTAGCGTTTGGTAGAAATGACACCATCATAAGAAGGAGTTTTCTTCTTAGTTTCATCATTCTGATATGCTCCTCCTCTTTTTGGGCCTACACTTCACAACACACCTGTTTTCATGATGAATTTTATGCAAAACATTTCAGTATAAACCACCCAGTAAGAAGTATGAAAAAATGTTAGTGATTCCACAACTATGACAATGTCTCAGTTTCATTGGATAATTTAATTTCCAATGTTCAACTATGCAATTGTCTCTGCTGAGCAAGTTGCGATTTCCTTGGCTGATATGTTGGGTATTTTTAAGATTAGTGTACATTTGTTTAAAAATTACCTTTTACATGTTTATATTTGCATCATAAAATAAAGTGTTCAAACATTTCCATGTAAGAAAAAGACAGATTTTGATACTTTATCATATACAACAGATTTTACGAGAAAATAGCCAGCACCCCTTAAACACTATGGAAAATATGCCTTAAAACTTAGCAAAATTACACAAGGCCTACAAAGGACTTGATAACATAAAAGAATAAAGATGTAGCATTGGACAGTTCTTTTTTTGTAAATAATGGCAAAAAAGTTAAATAATTTTATTTAATTTGAGTTTATTGGTTGTGAGATCAAAATGTAACAGATGTGATCCAAGTACTTTAAACGCCTATTTCAAATGCTTTGTAAATTTCAACAGAAACTCTAACTAAAGTCATTAATGGTAGTTATTTATTTTCTAACGTTATTAAGTATTTCCCTTTATTACAATCATCTGACTTCTATATGAGTTGATCTAGTGAATAGAAATTAAGTATAATAAGTGGTGTATCTTTACTTCTGTAGGCCCTACTTTAACAGAACCTTTAAAAATCAAGATATAGCTGGAGTTCCCGTCCCCTGGACGGATATTCTGTAAATTCATGATTAATGAAAGGTTATTTTAGGACATGAAAGTTGCTTCCCTTATATGTAATTGTAAAAAACGCCCATAAAAACTTCAAGGCACAAAATGTGAAACAGCAAGTTTGCTTGTATCTCCGCATAGATCCAACAAACCTTCAAGAAGATCCATCTACAGGGGGTGAAGTAGTAGTAAAAAAATCGCAAAAACGCCCACAAAAACCGCAAAACTGAAAATTTGTGTGTATCTCCCTATGGACCTCCATACTAAATTTGGTGAAGATCCATCCACAAGAGGAGAGGTAGTGGTAAAAACGCCAATAAAAACCACAAAACGCAAAACTTAAAATTTGTATGTACCTCCGCATGTACCTAATGTACGTCTATACCAATTTTGGTGAAGATTCATTCACACCCTGCGAAGTAGTCACATGGACATACAACAGACAGTACTATTATATTTCTATAGATTCAAGATTGTATCTTGAACTTTGGTATTATTTGTTTTGTGTTTATTGCTGCTATTATGTTAAGGACTGGTTCTTAATTTACTTTATTTTTAATATGCAGATTTTTTTGTTCAAAATGTGCTTAAGGTTGTTCGATTTCTTTAAAACCAAGAAACCATGAGCAATCTAAACTAGAGAAAATACAAATAAAAACTAAAAGATATACATTTATATAGTTTTCTTCTGTTAATTTCTGTAGCGCTTTCAGTTTCCATATAACACTTCAGGTTTACAAACTAGAATGTCTTTAAATTTTCGATAACATTTTTTATAATATTTCTTATGGTGGAAGTAACTTTTATAAAAAGAGCAAAACAAAGAAATAAATGGCAAAAAAAAATCACTCGTTGTATATCTTGTAATTTGTTTACTAATATTTTCGTGGTCCATTTTAAAGATATTTTTGCCGCAAGGGATACAAGCTAGTAGGCGGTAATAATGACACGGAATTAGGCCTACGACAATGTCAAGCTGACGGGACGTGGTCAAACTTTAATCAACGAATTAGGTGCGAAGGTAAGAGTGTACATGTTTATTTTCAGTGTATGTCAAAAGCATAAATTAGGAGTTCTTAATCATTAATGTGGATATTTTCCCCACCTGCTCTTGTCTTCCATTGAAGGCTCCAGTCAAATGGAAATCATGTTATACGTTAAACTTAAACTTAAGTTAAATTAAAGATTGGACACTAAATGCAGAAGAAATTTATATTCGATTTGTATTTCTACATCATTACCTTTTTAAGCATTTGATTTAAAAAAATTAACTATACCATAATTGTAGTTTATTTTAAGCTTATTAAAACCTAGAAATGTGATTTATTTACAACACTGCAGATTTAATTATGTAAATTTTGCTATTACGATTTGGTTACATTTTAATGTAACTGAAAACGATGTGTAAAAAAGATAATTTTATATCTTCCTTTAAGTTTAACAGTTTAAACACCGAGTACTGGGACTACCAGAAATTTAAATTTGAGACATTCGTGTTAAGTAAATACTTTAACTCTCAAATTGCCGACATGTTAAGTTGTTTTTAGTTTTATGCTGCTCGTTTACGGCTGGTATAAACACGATACACTAAATTCATAAATAATATTCAACGTTAAACTGGTACACAATTAAAAACATTTTATTTAGGCTGAGGATGACGTTGTAACGTCGAAACATGTAGAGTCGTCAACTTTTTGAAGGCCATAAATAGTCCTAAATAAAATGTTTTTAATTGCGTACCAGTTTAACACAGTATATTATTTATGATTTTAACTTTATACACAAGCGCCAAAATACTATAATTATGATACACTACACTGAATAATACTGTTACGTATCTGCTCGTTTGTTAATTTCCTGTAGAAATTCTTTCCGAGGAACTTCAGCAATACAAGTCCTTTCTTGATTAAACCAGTTTGTTCTTCCTCGATATAAACTTTTAGTACACAGTAATTCCACAGTCAGTACATTTCTCGTCACTTTAAACTTAACAACTTTTATAATACATGATATAAATCACTTTATGGCTAACTAGCTCGAAACTAACAGAATCATAAATTACAAAGAAATCACCATAACTACTGTTCGCTTTATCATCCCTTGGCTTTTCTCTGCCAGGCTTATATACTAACAAGGAGGCATCTTCAAAATTCGCGGACTTCTCCGATAATTCGAGAAACTCAGTCACCCATGCGCCAGCAGCGTCACGTGACTTCCTCTGCCATAACAATAAAAACGATTGTACTCCATCGCTACAATTCATGTTGTCACATCTGCTAATGCCCTATCTGCAACATAGTTTCCATTGGAAAAGACTCCATCGTAACGTAAAGCTGTAGTATCCAAAGCACAATATTTTTTCCTGAATGTTTTTCGTATTTCATCCTAATGTGTGTGTGAATGACAATTTTCCAATACCTGTTGCTACAGTCCAATGGCACATAAGTCCACAAGTGCTACATTTGGCAACTCAAGCGGTATGTCTTCATATGGAATATTATTAATACCAGTTTCATTCTCCAGCTGCTTGATGTTTGTGCAACAAAAATGTACCAGAAGCAACTTGTGTACAAATGATTTTGCAGATGGAGATCCTTCTTGATTATGTTGCGTATTATAGTCTTGGTCACGTGTACGTGGATTCTTACCTGTTACACCCAACGTTTGCTTACCACAACTGGAGTATGACTTATTAATACTAGAAATAAATGACCTTATGACATCAAAATGTTGTTCTTATTTAATTAGACACTCAACTTTCGCTTAACAGATTCTTCAGGAGCGTTAACTAAAACACAAACCGAAACTGACAGTTGTATTAAGTATCGAATAATTTAACTCTATTATCAGAAAAAATATAAAAAAAAACGAAAAACGCCTAATTATATATCATAGGCAAGAAATATCACGGGGCACTCAGCTTCTCAACTTTGGCCAGAGACCAGGTTTTATAGTGTTACGACAGTGGGGGTCACGTGACGAATATTCTAGAAGATTCGCTGGTGTGTTGCGACAGCGTTGCGTCAATTGACGCTGGTAGCACGTGTTGAGAGACTTAGAAGTTTCTAGAACAGGCAGTATTATCATATATAAGTGCGCTAGACAGTGAGAGAGACAGACGGAGTCGAAGCAGTAGTGGAGACAGAGACGAGCCAGAGAACGAAGCAGACAGAGAGAAAGAAAGCGATTATGGTCGGCGGGAACCGACGATAGCAGACACAAGGATCGGAACTATAGTTGGCGGGGACGGACAATTAAGTCTAAGCGCGATAGAAAGTGAGTGAATTGTTGTGAACTATAGTGTGTGTAACTGTGAAAATTAAGTACATTACAAAGTTGTATTGAGGAAGAATAAACAAATTTTATAAAGAAAGGACTTGTATCGTAGAGGAATTAACAAACAAACATACAGAGACGTAAGAAATTGGTGTCAGAAGTGGGATAAAAAAAATGGAAACGAGAAGCGGCAAATCAAACTAGAGCCTAGCAGACTTAATGGCAGCAATACAAGAACAGCAAAAGAAGCAAGAAGAACGAGAAAAGAAACAAGAAGAACGAGAAAAGAAACAAGAAGAGAGATTACAGCAGTTGTTGGAGGAAAAAGAAAAGAAACAAGAAGAACGAGAAAAGAAACAAGAAGAGAGATTACAGCAGTTGTTGGAGGAAAAAGAAAAGAAACAAGAAGAACGAAAAAAGAAACAGGAAGAGAGATTACAGCAGTTGTTGGAGGAAAAAGAAA